TATTTATTGTACCCTAGGCTACCCATGTTCGGAATACTTCTTATACAGTGATTTCAGTTGGCTTACTTTTGCTCTATGTGACCCCCACCCCCACCCCCCTTTCTCAATATCTGTCGATACTCCCTTGTTTTAACGAGCATGCCCAACTGAGGTAAAAGTTAGGGCATATGAAACAGGTAAAACACTCTAATAGGAAACATTGCAGATAACAAAATGTGACACCTTGGTACGTGCAATGAATTTGTGATATTATACACCTTACCTGAATGATAATGAATGTTCGGTATTACTTTGGCATGGGGACAACTTTAAGTAGCGTGTCGCTTGGTTCCTTGCATTTAGGATTTTCAAGCATGATTTTTTAAAGCAATATGAATCAGTGTTTTAAGCATCATGTTAGCCTTTTGATGATTGATTTTGGAACAACGTGATAAAAAGATTTGAAGAGTCAGAAGGGGAACGTGGACGAGAACGTTTGTGTTAGAGGTATTTATTTGATTGATTATATAAATCGCTACATAGGAATCACAAAGTGGTATCTGCTCAGTACCAAGTTTTGAAAAATTGACATAAAAAAAAGAATTAGAGTTTCACAAAAGGTCAAGCAATTTCGAATGCATTTCTTTAAATATCGTAATAACGACTCCGAGCAATCTTATGATTTTGGTAGAGCAGATAGAGCCATTTAATTTGGTTTTCCTCGTGGTCTTAGTAACTTAAAACGGCTAAAAATGTCAGACAAGATCTTGTAATTATAAGGTAGCGAAATGTACGAAATGTTATCTCTATTGAAACGAAGATACCATCATTGACTCTGCATGCCAGATATAACCTGGGCTGATGAGATACAGCCACCAAGCAGACAGACGGAGACATTCTTCCCCACACTGGGATTCGAATTCATGTCTTCTGCATGCAAGGAAAATGGCCTAACCTATACACTATACACCACAGTTGCCGACATGCCCGTACTTTAACCATACCGAAAACAGGTAGCTGAAATAAAATATTTTAAAAAGCAGATCCAGAAAGCTGGAAATATCAATGTCAACTTCTTTAGTAAAATTGTAGTATAATATTATGATTATAACTAGGCTATCTGTTATGAATAAAACTACTTTAGCTGAAGGAGGTAATGTAGGGCGAGAGAAAGAGGAATAGTGCGAGAGAGAG